GTTGATACATAAAATTAACCATCATATTGCTTGCACCATGATGGAATTGGATACCCAATTATGCACAGTTCACCAGCAACACTACCCATGTGTAGTGTTGTACCTAGGCCTTAACTCTGACTGGATTAAAAAAATTTTTTTAGTAAGGCTTGGGTCTTTTAAAATAAATTATTCAAAATAGCAGACAGCTTAACAGTTTCTAGGAGAAACATGTGCTTCTTAAATTGAAAATTCTGCCCCATTAACTTCCTGAAAGGTAAAGGTGGATATTTACTGGAGAGTTCTGTGAATGAGGTAATCTGCAATACAGTATGGCCCTGGGGAGGAAATCTTTCAAGTGTTCTTGCTCAATGTTCCTATTTGGAGGGATTTGTATTTAATGGATGACAAGTTAATGTGTCGTCAGTGTCTTGCAGTTGTGGTAAAGCTGCTAAAAGGAGTGACAAATGTTATATGTGCAACTTTCCATTTCACTGATAAATTAACTTGTCTGTTAAGAAGGAATTTTTAAACATCTTATAAAACTAAAAGAACCCCCCAGAGGATTCTACTTTGTGATACTCAGTGACTGCCCTAGATCTTCTCAGTTGATTTTTTTTGTGTGTATGAGGGGGGGAGTGGGTGTTTTGTTCTGTTTTCCACTGGGTCTTTGACTATAAGTTTTATAAGGGGAGAAAAGATTTCTCTAGCAGGAGAATCTGCATTATGGGGTGGGAGGTGTGACTTGGTAGTAGAGTACTTCCCCAGTGTGCAGGGGTTTGATTCCCAGCTCTGGGTGAAAAAAATCTATAAAACTCTGATAGTGATCCTACTAATTTAGTAGAATTTATCAATTCATGTGCTCAGGATCCCAAATGATGAACTGATGAACTGTCATAATCCCCTTGTCCCCATTAGGTCCTGCTCTTTGTATCCTAATACTGCCTGTATAGAAGACTTTCCCTAGAAGCTCAAATGGTCCGGCAATAGAGTTATTAATACAGCCAATGTATTTGGAGACAAAGCAGACAAAAATTCTCTCTCTTACCTTATATTTAAGGCTACTGAGAAAAAGAAAATCCAAATCACAATATAGGATTACTCAAAGTAATCCAGAGCAGCTGGCCCATTGCCGCCAACTTCAACACACATGAAATAGATCTACGCATCACGTGGCTCTTTCTTCAGTTATACTACTACTTCCTGCCCAAAGGCGTATTTTTTTATTCTTTTGGTCATCTGAGAAATCTGTTCTGTTGTCTGCAAAAAGGCTATTTTTTTTTAAACACTCAGGTCCATAAGTCCACATTATCCTTGGCCGCTCTTCAGATTCTACACTGGTTCCTTTTCACTTTTCTGATTCTCTGTTGTCACTTTTTAAATAGAGGATTTGGTAAATACTAATTTATATTTAGTGTTGACAATACCTATTTTTGTTTTCATTTCTGAAGGAAAAAGGAAAAAAATACCAAATGAAATGGTGATTCTTTCAGTGCATGTGTGCGGGCTTTGGGGTTCACAGAGAAGAGGACCTGCAAAGCACTTCAAAACCTTTCCATCCCACCCACAGCATCTTCAAGCCTTAATGTGATTTTTGCAAATCATTAGTTCTAGTGACCAGGAATCCCTACAGTGGTAGCATAGTGTAGTGTATAACAAACCAGAATAGACTAGAAAAAAATCCAGACAATGGACACATATCTAAGGAAATGAATGTGTTGATCACTGGAAGAATAGCAAGCTGAGAGGCTCCCTGAATGGCCTGGGATGGTTTTCCCACCCAAGACAATGCCTGTGTTCCGAATAGGCCTTAGGAAGCTGGGAATGACCATTTCTAGGTTATCCACTAGCTGCATGATCTTGAACAAACTGTAATACCTTTGAGTTTCCACTTTCTAATCTGTAAAATGGAGAAAATGAGACTTCTCTTATAACACTCTAAGGAATGAAGCTCTATAAAATAGGATAGAATAGCATAGAACACAGCACATAGCATAGTGCCTGGTCCACTATATGCATTTTTAAAATGATAGCTACCAATAATAATGGGAAGAAGTCTTATGGTTATTTGTTGTCCAGGAGGAATGTTCATTGTTTGGCAAAAATACATATATTTTCTTCATGATCTCACCTGTTTCTCATATTTCTCCCTTTCCCAGCCCATTCCTAATCTCTTAGGTAACTATATTTATGCAGTCCTTTCCCCCAGAAAAATCTCACAGAATTGTATCAAATAAAACAAATCCTCACTTATTCTCCTAGTATATAGAGCTATAGGAGAAAGACATCCCTAGCATGGAATTGTTATTAAAGTCAATGGGTGCAATTTGGGGAAGGTAAAATTCTTCCTCATACCCTTTAGATTGCACAAATGGGTAAACAGTTTCCTTAAGCAGAATGTCTCTGGATACCACTTACCACCTGACCCTGCTCATCTTTGTAACCCTCCTCTCACACACCCACCCTCCTCACCATGCTCTTTCTTCTCTCAGCAGTCCATACCCAGGTGCATATCATGCTCCATCTCATTTTATACCTTTATATATGATGTTCCTGTTACCTAGAATGCCCAAATTCCATCCAGATAATTCCTAGGTAGGAATACCTGAATATTTAGCTTAGCTCACATTTTTTCAATTTTCCATGCCATCCTCCCCAGGGGTTCCCTGGTTATTTGACTCTGGGATGGGGTTGGGGAGTGAGATGCACATCACAACCTATGTGGATAGTGGCCCCCCGAAGCGGTCCTGTGATTGGGCTCCAGGATTGTACCTTGTCCTCCTATGTTCTGTTCTCCACCCCACAGCTTCTACCTACTCCAATAACCTAATGATAAAAATGTTTACATAATTTATTTGAAATCTTTCCTCCTAGAGTAGGAGTTCTTGATGCTGGAATATGGGTTCTATCTCTCTTCTCATTACTTCACATATAATAAGTAATCAATAAATATTTGATTAATTGGTGATTGGTGGATAAGTGAACTCACAAATGACTATGTAAAAGAGTTAAATGAAGGATTACCTACAGAAGTGAGGATAGTAACTTGACTTTGTAAGGTCAGGAAAGAGACAATAATTAGGAGATCAAAATGAAGAAGAAGTAAATCCTCCATTAGTAACTTGGTTAATGCCTCCTAAAGATTCCCTAGCCTGTTCCAGGTGAGTCTGTTTCACAGTTTCTTGACATCTTAGTCATGGGTTGCTTGCAGTTTAGTAGTAAGCAAGGGGACAAGAGCAACAGGATGAGATATAGGCTAAGACAATGATAGACAAAGTTGGTTTTCTAGTACCATCTTGGGACTCACAAACCCTTGGAATTGAAATGGAGACAATATTTGTATATCCCAAGTTGAGAAGCACTTTCCTAACTTCTTTATTATTAGTTTTTCTCACTTCCCTTTTCTTACTGACCCACGTTTCAAAATTGTCTTCTTTGCTTGAGGCCATTCGTCATGTCCTTTTTATCAGCTTTCCTGCTCCTTAGAGCAAAAAGTTCTTCCAGAAGGCCAAAAATACTAGATCATGTAATTACAGAGTACTTACTACAGGCCAAATGGGGCCTGACTTTGCCCGCATTCATGTTGCTGGAAGACACTCTAATACTCAGTTAGAACCTAACCACACTGAGTTATTGCAGCTCTCATATGGACCGCACATTCACAATTAGCTCTTCACGCAGATAAGAGTATGTACTTTGTCTCTGCTATTGCCCCTCGTGTCTTTTTATTTCATTATGACTATTGTGCTTAGAAGCCTGATTTTCAATCTGTAATCCTAGTGAAATTCCTTCAACATAGCTCACAATTAAAAATAGTTTTCTTTGAAGCAGGCTTTGTTGAAATTGATATCTATCATCTACTCTATCTACTTTCCAGGGCTACTATATTTTGCTGTAACTGGGAATGATGAAATAATTTTTATATGAATGAACTTTGTAACCTGGCATATATTTTTAACTGGCATAAAATGTAAAAGTTCTAGGAAATATAAAAAGTTCTAGAAAGGATTAGTGTTCCTGAGGACAGCTTCTTAATTTGAACACCAGTTATTCTTTGGCCACATCGTCATTGAATTTATGGCCCTCAAGTTCAGTTGTCTCTCCCATTATACTTCCGCAATGTTTATAGGCAAGTGTAGCTAAGTAAAAAAGTACTAAAAGGGGTCAGAATAATCTCATCCAGGGAACATATGGGTGAATTGTTGCAAACCATAAAAGGCAACTTAGACCAAGGTGAATGCTGCCAGCTGTCTAAAAGGATGCTTGGGTAATAATGATTTCCATGCATGAAGGATAAGGTTACGCCCCATAGCAAGCTTCATAGGAAGCAGAGTTATGAGCCAAGAGTGGTGAGAGCCAAAGTAAGGAGACAGTAAGGAACAGCTGGGAATTCTTCCTCTCCAGGAGAGACTCAGTATTAGTGGAGACTTTCCAGTGGTGATCAACACATTGTCAAAGGTAGAGTTTGAAAAAACAAATAGATGCTGATAATTGATTCCTTCATCAGAATCAAGCAAACAAAAGCTCAGACATGAAAAAATGGGAATGAGATCTGAGGCCATGTGTGATTCTTTCCTGTTTGAAAGAAGATTTTAGTGCCAGAAAGTATTCAACTGCAAAGAAGTCTTCTTGTGAAGAAGGGGATATTTTAAAGATTTTTCTAATGATGTTTACCTCATATTCATCTAGAGTTTATAGTCTATGTATTTGTTTATTGGGCATATATATTCATAAACAACTTCTGTTATAGGGAGAGGAAAAGTGGAGTGGTTGTATCATGAAGTTTTTAGGACTTATAAAAATGAGTGATCATGTTTATTTTAACCATCATGGTTATTTCTTATACCCCTACTATGTTTACTTGAGGATGTAAAAATGACAAATAAATCTGAACAAAAACTGTACTTTATTGATTTTTCAGAGTTAAGAGGAAGATTTATGACACATGGAAACTTTCGGCTGGTTTGGAAGAAAGTAAATTGAATGCAGAGATGCTAGACTGCTGCTAAGGCCCATGGACAATCCACAACTCACTCTTCTCTATCAAACTTTAAGATTTATTAATAATATGCTGCCTCTGCAAAACAAAAAAAATCTAATGCCAAGAAGGTATATTCTTCAATATTTGGAGTAGACACGCTCTCAAGACAATGGCTTCAAAGGTCTCCTGCTTATATGTTTTGACGGTCGTGTGCTGGGCCAGCGCTCTCTGGTACTTGAGCGTGACTCGTCCTACTTCATCCTACACTGGCTCCAAGCCATTCAGCCACCTAACAGTTGCCAGGAAGAACTTTACATTTGGTAACATAAGAACTCGACCTATAAACCCACATTCTTTTGAATTTCTAATAAACGAGCCCAATAAATGTGAGAAAAACATTCCTTTTCTTGTTATCCTCATCAGCACAACCCACAAGGAATTCGATGCCCGCCAGGCCATCCGGGAGACGTGGGGGGATGAGGACAACTTTAAAGGGATCAAGATAGCTACCCTCTTCCTTCTGGGCAAGAACGCAGACCCTGTTCTGAATCAGATGGTGGAGCAGGAGAGCCAGATCTTCCACGACATCATTGTGGAGGACTTCATTGACTCCTACCATAACCTGACTCTCAAAACATTAATGGGGATGAGATGGGTGGCCACTTTCTGCTCAAAAGCCAAGTACGTCATGAAAACAGACAGTGACATTTTTGTAAACATGGACAACCTAATTTATAAACTCCTGAAACCCTCCACCAAGCCAAGAAGAAGGTATTTCACTGGCTATGTCATCAACGGAGGGCCCATCAGGGATGTCCGCAGTAAGTGGTATATGCCCAGAGATTTGTACCCTGATAGCAACTACCCACCATTCTGTTCTGGGACTGGCTACATCTTTTCAGCTGATGTGGCAGAACTCATTTACAAGACCTCACTGCACACAAGGCTGCTTCATCTTGAAGATGTATATGTGGGACTGTGTCTTCGCAAGCTAGGCATACATCCTTTCCAGAACAGTGGCTTCAATCACTGGAAAATGGCCTACAGTTTGTGTCGGTATCGCCGAGTTATCACTGTGCATCAGATCTCTCCAGAAGAAATGCACAGAATCTGGAATGACATGTCAAGCAAGAAACACCTCAGATGTTAAAATTTTTACCCATGTAAATATTTTTCTTTTCTTTTTTTAAGAAATGGGGCCTAAGGTGTTGGTATATTACAGGTGTCCCCAGGGGAAATGAACCGGTGAAGGGGTTTTGTACAGATTTTGCCTCCTACTCCTAGCTCCTTCTTGGATTACCAATTCCCAAATGCTAAGCTTCAGTCTTAGAAACAATAAATGAATTAGAAGGACCAAATTTCATCCTCAGGTCCTAAGACATGCAATTTATCAAAAAAAAAAAAAAAAGTGACTTCCAGACAACTCCTAGGATTTATGCACTGTGCATCTGAGATAAAAATCTGGTTCTGGGAAACTGAAACTTACAGTAACATCTTCACATCATCTCTGCAAAAATAAGTAGATAAGTAAACAACTTTTTCAAAAACAATTCAGAAACGATGCACAGTCAGGAAGACACACTGGATGTGATTATTAATACCGTGTGTGTGTGTGTGTTATTGTTACATTGAATTTTTACATATGTTGCCATGTAATGTGTACAGTATTTGTGGTTCCAACACTGGCAGAGAGGCTGCAGTGAAATGGATGGGAACTTAAAATTGAGAATCAAATAGTCTGTGTGTTTGAAAGGCAACTCTACTTGCTCATCCGAGGATTAAACCTGGTCAGCAGGTAGAATGTGTATAAAATGCTACTTAAACAACAACAACAACAAAAAAATTCTGCTCTTTTGGAACATTACATGGTGCCTCCAAGGAGACTTTGCCAAATGTAATAATCTCACCTGCTTCCTTCTGCATAATGCTGCTAAATGCTTTTCAGTTTCTGGATCAGGCAAGCACATGTCTCCATATGTAGAAAACAAGCTGGTAGGAAGCCAGAGAACAATGAATCACATTGAGAAAATATGAATTTAGGTATACATTAAAATTAACATAAGCTTAGAAATAGTATAAGATGCCCTTCCCACACATTTGCAAAGCATGTGAGAAAATCTTTAACAGGTACCATATTATTGAAAGATTTGGCCCTACCATTGATAGAAGTGATAGTAACACCAGAAATATCCAAGTACCTTCAACAGCAAAGCTATTATAAGGTGTTCTCGGGGCTATGTGATTGAGTACCATAGGAAGGAAGGGTGGGGAAGCCTGGGTTCAGATTCTATTAATGCCACCAAACCACATGAGCAGGCCTTTTAACATTGCTGTATTTCAATATTCTCACTTGTAAAATGGCTGTTTAAAAAAACAAACAAACAAAAAAACACCTACCTCACAGGTGCTGTGAGAGCAAATTGCATTTGCTAAGATTTTTGAGATTCTTAGTTTAAAAGGTGCTACATAATGCAATGTATCATGCATTATGCCAAATGCTAAAACGATTACTATAACTATAATGATGGTCATCAGTAGTAGTACATCATCTTAATATAAAATCTACCAAAATAAAGATGAACTATGAACTATCAGTGTTCTTAATTCCTCCAAGACTTTGATTTTTCCTTGGCTATAAGTTAGTTGTTTGGCGAAGCTTCAATTTCTCTGCCATCTCTTCTGTTTTCAATGAGTAAGCTATCTTTTCCATGTGTTTCTTTGCTAGCCCCAGGGGCTGTAGGTGAAGGCATTGTTCTTTCTTTAGGGGAAGCATTGGCTGGGAGTCTATTACAGTAAGTGAAGCATACACTTGCAAAACGCATCATGACAACTTAGGTCTCAGGAAATATTTTGCCTGAATTATCTTTAAAAGCGTTGAGGACAGGGAGAATCACTTCTATCAGAAAAACAGGCACTCAGTGAACCTACACATTTCAAATCTCCCATTCATTAGAAAACTCATTGTTTTAAAGAAAGTCCCCAGCTGAAAGAGTACACCTTTTAATTTATTTATTATTTTTTAACCTGACCTTTGGGAGCCCCCATAGAAGTCGATGGCAAACAAAATGAACAAACAGAAGTCAAGGCCTATTTCTTGAAGACATTGGATCTCTCATCTCCAGCCCCAAAGTTCCCAGTATAAGACAGGACTTCCTGTCCCTTAATACATCTCATCTCTGTTTAGCAAGACTGATGATTTTGATTACAGAACAATGTTAGTGACCTTGGGAGAAATGGAGCAGCACAAGGTGAACCACCCTCCCACCCTGTAGCCTCAATTGCTGTGAGTTCCAGTTACTGGGGAAGTCTCATGACTTCATTCTTGATTCACCTCCCAACCATGCAGCTGAATCAAGTCCACGTCTCATACTACTGCCTTGCATCAACCCCACGCTCAGCCAAGCCACCTTTGATGTCAAGAAATCACACATTATAAACATTATATATGTACATCTCTGAATTATTTCATACAGGTGTGTATAGAGTATGAATAAAGCCCTAATCTTGAAAAGGAGCAAAAATCAGAAAATCATACATCTTAAAAACCTGTCTCCTAACTTTTTTATGCTAGGTAGTGCCCATGTGACAAATATGTAAATATTCATCAAAGACCACATGTATATATTTTAAAGCCATTATTTTCTTCTCCCCAACTGTATGTACAGCTAGACTCTGCCTGCTATGTAACATTTTCTTCTGCATGGAGCTCGGTGAGGCAAGGCCATTTGTCCAGTATTTCAATAGCCTTAAGCATGTTTGCCCTTTCTTTTCTGAATGTTCAAAACAAAATATTGAAGTGATCAAGAAAAATCTCTAGCTTTCTACTTTTGTTAATTTTTTGACATGACACTGGCCAAATTGTCACAATTATTTGTGAATCCATTATTATCATTTCCTTGACATAAAATAATGTTTCGTAATAAATAATGGCAGTATTCTGGGGCCAGGGATGTAGCTCAGTGGCAGAGCTCTTGCCAACCACGTGCAAGGCCCTGGGTTCCATCCCCAGCACCGCAAAGACATAAATAACTAATGGCAGTATTCCACCAGGAGTCATTCAGACAGTTTTTACAAAACTGTTCCCCCACCTGTTTTTCATTATGCACCAGATAACAATGGGTATCGATAATCAGTGTCTATGTTCTTAAAGTTTTTTTTTCCAAATTTATTTTTTGAAAATAAGTTTTATCTTTGGTGGCTAGTTTGCGTGGCTTTGTGTCTTCTTATATTGGAGCAGTTTCAATACACAATAATGTACTTTGAAATAACCAGAATCAAAAAGCGAAGATCATTTTCAATTTGGAATAAATTCAGAAGAACAAAACCCCTTGTGCGATACGATATGGGGAAAACAAACTCTTTACAGAGAAGCCAAGGAAGGAGTTTTTCAATCAAATTTCTTCTACCAAAAGACAATGGAATATTTCCGTACAGCATCTGGGATATTTTCTACCTTTCCTAATATGTGGGTTCAGTGGGGGAATTGATTATGTCATTTCTTCTGTAAAGGTGAAGATAGTTTTTATAAGCAACAAAGTAACTTGTGAATGAAAGAAGTAATTTACTAGAAACGCTTGTTGATAATTGACATTTAGGTATATCGTTATATATGAATGATTGTATTTATGTATTTATTTGTTCAAAATTGTACATATGGTTTCGCCAAAAGTAATTGTCTGTAAAAGTGCACTCTCTGGGTTTGTAGTACTATTTAGGGTTACATGGGTTGCCAATCAAGCTGCTAATCAGAATACTATTTTTTTGTATCGATGTTATGAAACTAAAAATGACAAATAGATGCTGAAGATGACTTTACATTCAGTTTCTTCACCTTCCTCTTGAAATGTAAACTGTTAATTGAAAGCACGATGCTAATGTACAGGCCCATCTGTCCTGAGGAAGAGTACAATTCCATAAAGCTGATTTTTTTAAACATTGAGGCAAATAAACAGAAGGAGAACATAACCCATTTTGTTGGGGGTTTTGTGCATGAATCTCTTTGGAGAAATGTGATTGTGAAAATTGATTAATGTCCACAATTTACCAAGGTCTCCCTAACCTCAGTGTAGGTGATGACTCATCCCCATCACAGCTCATCCCCAAGAGCCCAGAACAACTCCAACGGTCAGCTTGGACACCATTTGGTCCTATAAGTAGAATTTGGGCTAAATCCACTTCTGGATTTAGGAAACAGGTATCTCCTTGATGGCCTCACAGAAGCGTTTTAACTGTACTCTGTTTTAAGGACAAATTCCAATGGCATTATATTGATAATGTACTTGGTGAATTAGGGCATGTCAAATCTAAAACAAAAGAGATGTCATTCTTACACCTCACCCACATATATCCTTTGGAATACTGCATACACCCTTAAAGTTTAATGGGATTGGAAATAGCTATTCAGACATTCTTTAACCAAAGACAAGTAGACATTGCTAATACCTAACTTCATAAGCAAGATATTAAGCTGTTTAAGAAACAAAGTGGTGCTTCATTGTTTGGTTTTTTTTTTTCTTTCCAATTCTGATCTAGTTAAGCAGGTACTCATTTATTAACTGAAATTTAACTTCAGATGTATTCCTTCTGTTCCTTGCAGTTCCAAAAGGTAAAATCTATCAGGTAAGAAAAAATAATGTGATTAAACAACAAAAACACAAGTATACAGATTTGTATTCCACTTGACTTTTTTAACATCAAAAGCAGTGTTCTAAAAATATAGTCCCCAGACCAGGAACATTTTATTCATCTGGGTACTTGCTAGAAATGCAAGGAATTTTTGGTCCCTACTAAAAACTTTGGTCCTTACTAAAAATCTATTTCAACAAGCCCTGTAGGTGATTCTTAAGCATGTTGAAATTCAGGACTTCACTATGGGCCCTTTGTAGGAAAAGTTTGACAACCTCTGACCAGGAGAAATAGGAGAAAATGGGGTACAGACAAAGTGTCTCCAGGTATGAATAAGGAATCACATCAATAAAGCATGTTGAAATCATTTCTCCATGTAGCTAAGGAAATGACAACGCAGTCATGATAATGAATTACATCAAAAACTGACAGCTGCATATATTTTTAAAATATTTCCTTTTTCTCTTTCAGGGTGATTTTTTAAAACGATAAAAGCTTGATTCTAATTGTAACAATTATCCACAGTTTAATTAATATATTGCTTAAAGATGCATGGGTATCAGACCTAAGAGGGTGGGTTTCATATCGCTTGATTATCATAATTACAAGCATTCTATTTTCTCATTTGCTTAATTGATTGTCATAGATTTCCAAATGAACTCCCACTGCTGGAAGAGAATTGAATACATTTCTAAGTAGAAAAAAAAAAAAAATAACAGAAATAGGGCTATTTAGAAG